ACTATTACTCGAAATTCGAGGGTGATAAAAATAATTCACAGCGTCGTCAGTTTGTTGAAAAATTGTGCGATAAATTATAGTGATATGTATCCGACTACATTTGGTATGTACATTTTACAGTGCGCCCCAGGAAACGAATTTAATTGGATACGCAAGTAAAGGTAGGTTGTACGTATGCCATATGTGTATTTATCATTTTCGTGTTGTGCAAATAAATCTTTCGGAAAATCGTGACTTTTCGGGACGTCCGTGTAGGTATCAAACATATTATTTACTCTGAGACAGTATTCCATAAGCGTTATGCAATTTTTTCAATTCCATCGTTCTGAAGAGCTCGACGCGTTATTATTATGGATGTTTACTGTAAGTATTCGTGCGTTCATATTTTATATTGAATTTAAAAAAGTAGTAAACAATACACAGTGTGTTACGCGCGATTTTTACGATCGATGGGTTGTACGGAAAAAACGCCATACACAAACAAACGGATAAAAAGGTCAGGTGTTACCATACGTGTACAAAAACAACAGTCATCTGCAGCATTGGCGTGTTTCTCGTCGATTGAAACAAAAAATGTAAAATGTTTTAACTAAATATAGTATACGGTGTACCTACATTGCGTATAATATTATTATGTACTCGACGAAGTATAACTATCCAACAGACTATATTATACGGTTCGTTACATCGGACCAAAGTATTTACACTTTACTTAATTATCATTTATACCTTCTGTGTTGTATTTTTTAAATGTTGTAAATAATTTTTTAACATAATATTGTTTTATACATAGATAGTACGTACAAATATTTCCGCTAAATTCAATCATCAATTTACTGTATTGTGTGTGTCACAAAAAGTCAAACTTGCATACCTACTGTAATCATACTAATGTAGCATCACATTGTAAACAATTATTCTCGTGGTCCTTGGTTGTGTATATTTAATAAGAACTGCGGATAATCTACGTAACTCACACCCAACTATAGCAGGATTGAGGCTATTGAGAAATTCAAGACTAATATAAGCCATTCGATACGAGAGAACGTCATTCGAACGAGCGAACGCGATATTGTTTACCTAATATTATGTAGTTAGTACATAATATATTGACCATCTGGGCGATTTTAATAGTGATCGTTCAATCTAAATAGATCATTTAAGAATATAAGTGATTTTGTGTTTTTGACATTTTCTCCGTGTCGTCGTGTCAGTTGGTTTAATAATATATTAAATGCACCGTAGTCCGAGAATTGTAATATACCTCTATCTTCTGTTGTATGACATTTGGAACGTAATCCACGCGGGGAGCGTATGTATTATACATATAATAGAAATAGTTCCTAGTATAAGTATTATAATATACGATCTCGGGATCGTCATTATGAACTGGAACGATGTTGGGTACCTGCATAATATTATTATAATATCGAACCCTTTTGCGATTGTTAACGTTTTTACGACAGGATAAACTTATTCAATAGTTAAGTATAATACTATTTAGTGCGAAATGTATACGTAGAAATTCCACAACATAAACACAACCAAAATTTCAAAAACAATTTTCTTATTTCACAATTTATCAATTAATTAATCCCGTATATTTGAATTTAAAAATATAATTTAACAATAATTACAGATTTATAAATATTATTAGCCAAACAATTTCGATTTACTTCAATGGTGAATTAAAATATCTTCGTCGATTTATGCGCATAAACACGCATTTTATCTCTAAAGGAATTGATAGATTTATTGAATCCGAAGTAAATATCCAGGCCAATTTTTTTTTTTTTTTTTTAATTAATGTTTGGATTTAAATAAAAAAATGTTCATTAATTTGCAAATTTTTCGGTTGAGATAACTGATATAACCTGTATATTTTTGTTCGATCGTTTTTTTTCTCTGCGGTGTTTTCGGTATAATTATATAATAATAGTGTTAATTGAAATTCTCCACACGCCAAAGGTATTTTATGTAATATCATCTACATAACAAAAAGCCGCTATCTTGGAAATCCATTAGCACAGTTTAAGCCTTAAGGAATTAATTATTATACATCGCCAATGGTAGTTTGTATATATAATATGCATATAATATAAATTTATAAGAGACTCCCCGGTAAGAAAATTAGCAACGTAAAGAATGTAAAAACCATAAGGATGTATTATTAAATAATAAAATGTTTAAATATATATATGAGATACTTTCATTTTCGTCCAAGCCCAAAATGTCCATAATTCTATATTTTTTTTTTTTTTTTTATCAATACAATACATTAATAATAGTGTAATACTATATCAACGATCACATAAAGTATTTATAGCCAGTGTAGAATTTAAGGACAATAATTTTCCAACATATTTTATTGATATATAATATCTATTATTAATGCAGAATAACAGCCCCTATTTTATTTTATATAAAAAAGTTCATATTACACATTTTTTTTTGTATAATGACATCATATATATATAGAGAGGCGTAGAGCTTTACATTATAATGATATGTCCTCCTATTTATCTTATAGATAAAAACCATTATAAGTTATAACGATAAAAATTATCTAAAATATGATTTATCAAATCCGTACTTTACCCAACCAATTTAAAACTATGTCAGGGTTTACTAAAAATATAAGGACTGCAGTTCAGTAGCTATATATTGTGTATGCTCGCGTATAATATGCACTAAAACCCGGTGTGAAAAAATTAAAGAAGTTATTACAACATTTTTATTTAAATACCAGTGACGGGTATCGTTAATAGATTTTAAAACAAGTCAAAAAAATGTGTTGCCTGAAAAGCTTACGGCAAAATAATAAATACTGTACGTATAATACTTTATCTCATTTAATTATTCAAGCACCCATGAGACGTCCGCTGACCCTATTTTTACAAATTGTAGTGAAATATGTATACCTAGTGAAAATGCTTATGGTAAAATAGAAAAAAATGGTCTTGCAAATATTTAATTATTGATATAATTCTATCAGACGTAATTAATAATAATAATTGTTGTCGCCAACACTGGAATTTTAAATTGTTAGTCGTTTGGCGGGGTTTATCGTTTCGTCAATTTTCGTGTCTGGATATCGGTTCGCGTCATGCGACACCGCAGTACGGTTGACAACAGCTGTTGTGTGATAACCGTCCGGTGCGTGCGCGCGGCCGTTATCCCACATTCGTTTTAAAATATGTTTTCGTTGTTCCGTTTCCGTATCGCGCGTGTGCGGTCGAAACAAATTCGGTTAATATGTTTCGTGTTTTCTCAAGTCATTGATCTCAGTGACACCGACAGTTCCATAAGTTCGCGTGTTTTTCATTTGTGTAGGTGACACTGAGCTTTCGTCTCATACTTCAATGTTGTCGAGCTCGGTTCGATCGTGTGTCGGACCGGCTCGTACTTCCGATTTCGTGTTCATTCTTTTTTTGCTCGTTGCTGCGGTCTGGTGGAGGCGTGGAGCTCCGTCCGTATTGTTCGTCATTCATTGTTCGCAGAAGAAAACCACGTTGTCTGTGATTTCGTGAATTGGTTGTTTGATAAATATCGTTGGAACAATTTTTATTGTCGACGTTATCATATTTTATTTCCCCAGTCTAGGGCGGTCATTATTGTTACCAACAATCATTGTGAGTCGTGGTTTTCGTATTCGTCATTTACTGCTGTGTTGTTTTTGAATTCGTCGTCGGTGGCTGTTGCCAGCTAATCGCGCACGCGGCTGTCATTTTCATTGTATTAAATTATTATTACGTAACCGGTGCGCGCATTACCTGACATAGCCACATGTGAGTATTGGTCGACCAAATATTAGTGTGTTTTTTTTGCAGGACCGACGGGTCCATAGTTGTTATTATTATACATTTATTGTTTATTTTTGTAACACCTGAATCATTGTGAGGTCTGAAATAATTTTTATTATTATATTATATTATATTTTTCTGGTTGGTAGTGCAGCACTTTGGGTGGCCTGCCTTACTGCCGTAAAGGCATCTTAATATACGATTAAATACTTAAGCCAAATGCGGCGACAATAATAATAATAATAAACGAGGAAAAATAAAATAATAAATAAGAATGTGGAAAGCGCACTCTGGTCGGTTATATACACTATCGCTAGAGATGGACATACTTCATGCAACATCGTACAGATAGTGCACTACCACACTTGACTAAGAATGAAACTTTAAAAGATTTTTTTTCTAAACGACCGATAATAGTATACCTTATTAGTGAACAACTTTTGTATTCTGTCAGCCTATCTAATGTGAATAAACGAAACTAAAATAATATTTTCAAATTCGTGAACCAACTATCCACCTAAGCCATTTCGAAGCACGCAGATAAAATGTTATTGTTAAAAATTGTTTATTAGTCCATTATTAATTAATCTCGGACAAAGGGATTCTATTCCGTTACTATAAATCAATTATTTAAGTGTATATACTATATAATATTATAATAAATATATAGTAGGTATTAACCCTGTAAGACAAAAAATCAATATAATAGTCAATAGTATACAAATAACAATAAAATTGCATTATCAGTAAGATTCAAATGCATTTTATCTACAATTCTTTGATATAATAAAATTGGAAGTGAATTTCGTTATGCGTGATTACAAATAATTTTTTTTAATAGGAAAATAATATTTTGTAATCATTCTTTCAATTCGATCCTCACACCAGAAAAAAAACACTGATCTAGTATAGATGATGTAACGCCTATATGTATACGTAAATATACTTGTATATACATAAAAAACTGAAATTTAAACATACTTACGTTTGTAATTGCGTATTGTACGTTTAATATATGTATCAGCTGTTGACTTAAAACTATGATAAAATATAAAGTTTTTTTTTTTTTTAAATATCGCGTTTATTGAAAATGTACAATCTATACTATGGGTACATTAAGTAAATTTGAGGGAGGAGAATGACAGTGATGTGGCGGTGAAAAGGGAAACTTACAGTAGAGCTACCTTTACAAGAATCTTAAATTAGTATATCGATTAATTGAGAAGGTTTTTGGGCCAGTTGCGGTTTAGGCGTCGGATGGGTAGGGTTACCTAGAAGATATTTTGTATGTAGTTGTGATATCAGTTGGTTTGTGCGGCCTTGCATTTTGAAGTGGAGTCTTTGATAGAAGATGGCTGCAGTCTGATTAATAGAAGGAACTTTGAGGACTTCATGTAAAGCGGCGTTTGTGACGTACCATGGGGCTTTAGCGACCATGCGGAGGAAAATGGACTGGAACGCTTGAATTGTCTTAAGATTTGAGGGTTTGGCTGAGCCCAAGGGCACAATAGGGCAAACATATAAAGTTAAAGATCTAAATAAAAATCACATTTTGCTATAATTTTCACAAATACAAAATAAAATTGGCGTGATCAAGCAAAAGCAAAGTTTGAAATTTAAATTCTTACTGAGAAATGTGAAGTTAATATCGTCAAAGAATAATTAGTGCTATTCTATCCAACTATCCGATATTTTTTTTACACTTCGACGAGTTGGTTTTTTCCTTTAATTCATTTATTTCAGAGCGACTATTTATTAATTTTCTAGTTAACATATATTTTATACGCCGACTTTCTTTAAAATCTGGGATTACAATCTGTAACACACATTGAATATTAAATTTTATAATGTAATTATCATTTTTTTCTAATACTTCAGGTATTCTCATTGTATTTATCTGGCTTTCTTTTTCGTTAAATAATTCATTAAATCTTTTTTGAGAGTATGCTAATCTCTGTTCTTCATTCCTTAAATTGAATTTTAATAGCTCATTATCATCCTTAAACTTCGATAGACATTTGTTTTCAAATCTAAAAATATATATTCACATAGTTGTTACTTGTTTATAGATGTTCAAAAATATTCAAAATCTACTTATTATTAGTAATATTAAACATGTAGATATAATATAAATTTCAATCTATAATAATTACGTTAATAATTTATTCTGAATTAATAATTGTTTTATTTGACATTTTGCATCGTTAATATTCTTTGACTGAACTTTGTGATTAAATTCACTTTGGGTCTGAAAATGTGTAATTGAGTTTGTCAATTCATGATTTTTTTGATTAGTAATATTCAATTCTTCTTGAATTTTATGGAATTTTTTCTGGAACTAAAATATAACATACTTTAATAAGCTAATTTAAATATTATTATTTACATTATTTATTGTTAAATAATTATTCAATACTAAAATATTATTAAGTACTAAGTTCATTAGTAATATATAAAAACTCATTATGTTATGATTTTACCTCTTCAATAGAATATCTCATTTTGTCTACTTCAGATTGCTGTAGTTTTTTACATTTATCATTATTTAGTAACTGCGTTTCAATATTTTCTGTGCATTTTTTTAACTGTTCAGTTTTATATAGTAATTCGTCATTTTTTTGTTCCGCATCTTTAAGTATCTTATTTGCTCTCGTAGATTCTGGAAAAATAAAAATTAACTATAATTGACATCATTATTTCTTATTATGCTAGACAAATGTTTTAATAACAAGGTAATACGTGCCTTTTTTCATAGATTCTATTTTCAAATTATAATCTTTTATTTTTTTACATAGCAAAGTTGATTGTCTATTTAGTAGTTTACATTGATGATCATAATTGTCGTTTTGAATCTGTTAAAAAATACAAACTTATATTATTATTTATTGTAAATATTACATACTTTCTTTAGCCAATTATAATTAAGAAATAATAATCAGAGAATTAATCTTAAAATATTAATAGTTTTTAGGGTTATGATTTATATTTATACCTTAAGGTTTTGAATTTTAGATTCTTTAGACAAAGTATCTATTTCATCATATATTATTTGATATTTTTGTTTTTCAAGCAATTCGTTCGACAATTTTAATTTTTTTTCAATCGCTTTTGTATTATAAATATTTTTAATCACTACTTCTCGATATTTAAGTTGTTTTTCATCTTGACTTTTTATTTTTAAATGTAATCTATTAAAAAAAAAACAAATGGTATATATTATGTTGTAATTCATGACATGTAAAATATAAAATAAAATTTATACGTTTTGATTACTTGTTCTAAAGCAAATATTTTATTTTCGTAGTGTCTTTCTTTCAACGATCCTAGAATAAACAAATAATTAAACATTTTTTTCAACATTTTAAACAATCATAAAATATGTGAACAAATTTTTCTTATCATAAGATTCTTAACTAGGTCTTAAACTCAAATGTTGAAAAAATTAATTAAACATCTATATAGTTTATACATTATTTTATAATTTTTATTGAAGTTAGCATATTTTGGCATTGTAAATTGTGATAAGAATTTTTTATATAAAGGTATATTTATAAATAGATTTTTAGTATTTTAATGGAAAAATATATATCAAGCTTTAATAATTTAAACTTTACAGGAAATATTAGAAAAATAGACACTAAAATTGTTTGCTATTTAATTTATGAAATCATTGAATTGATCACCAACTTACCCATCTTTCAATGTATAATATTGTAATAATCCAAAGAAATAATAATTTACTAGTATAATAATATTTGAGAATGACATTTGAAGAAATATACGTGAAAAATAGTCATATTATAAATCCTATTCATTATTTTATTACTAATAATGCAGATATTGGATTTAATATGAAATTTACCGCATTTTATTTTCGGTTCCTTATCTTCAATTTTACCATATTTTGATTGGTACTGTAAAGTAAATTTTTTTTTAAGTACTTAAATATAAAATTTCTTTTATTGTACATATAATTTATTATAAATAACATATGAACAATGGACCAATTTTAATATGAATATTTTCTTTAGAAAATTAAAAAAAATTAATAGTAAAAAACCAGATATTTTGATTACACGTGTTTTTATACTAATAATTATTTTAAATCTTAAGATTGAGTCCAAAATTTTTACTACAAATTGTGTAGTGTAAGTATTTGTAAACAATATTTAATATACTTTTAAAATAGTGAATTAATTTAATCTTTACTCTTATGAGGGTCTCATATAATCATATAATATATTATTTAAAAAATTAATTTGAATATCTGTTAAAATTAGTTGGCAATTTCCGAAATACCAATTTTAAATAAGATAGTTGTAAGTAAAAATATATAAAGATATTATGTATTTCATCATTTTTTTTTTTTTTTTTTTTTAATAAACAACGTTAAATATTATTTAATTTGTATTATGATTTAAATATTTTCAAATTAAATTTGTGAAATTTATAAAATAAAAATATTTTAACACTTATACATGAATACTTTTGATTAAATTAAATACAATAAAATCGATTTATTTAAATATTTTGAATTTACTTTTACATAAATATACAACTTGTATATATCATAGCGACTCTTTCAATAGTAAGTACTAAGTGCTTCGATAGACAAAAAATATTTTGTTTCACATGATTACAATTTATTAAAAAATACCATAAAATATCACTATAATCAAAATAATTTTTTAGAAACTTTTATATTTGAAATCGAATTGTGAAAAATTGTCTATTAATTATAAGTTAGTATAGATATACTAACTAAATTCTAATATGAATATTGAGTGGAGTAAAGTGGTAAGGTACAATATATTTTTAAATAATTATAAATTATAACTAATCAACAACTAGTTCAAAGTCGAGTATTTACTATTAAAAGAACCACCCAGCATTATCTTTTACTTACCGAGTTACCAAAAAAGTTAATTTTAATAAATTTAATTTTTTTTTGATATGTTTTCCTACTTATTAGGAATTAATAAAATAAAAATTCTAATAAATCTGTTGGATAATATCTTACGAAAGGACAATCAAGGTTACTAAATCTAATTGTCAAATCAAGATTCTTATCCATGCATTCTGCTAATTTACGCTTTACTAATGTTAAATCCTCTCCTGTGTATATATACTTTGTTTTTTGTTTCTCCAATTGATGCTAAAACACATATCATACCTGTATTATTTTATGTAAATAGATTTTAAAATTTCAATATTGAATTGTTTTTTTTTTTATTACAGTAATTTCTATTAATTTCTTATTCTCCATTTGCTCTTCTGCTAACATTCGTTTAAATTTATTCACTTGTTTTTTCATCGAACGCTCATTGGTTTTCATTTCTTCCATTGTTATTATTAATTCTTCTGAATCATTCTAAATAAAAATATGAACTAATGAATTATTTTATGAACATCAGTAAAAAAATTACCAATTTTGATTTTAAAGCATTATTTTCATATAGTAGGCCCTTATACTTAGTTCTTGATTCTAAACACTCTTTATTCATAGTTTTTATTTTTTTCTCGAGAAATTTGACACTTTTTTTCAAAATCACTTAATTTTATCTGTGAATATTAGATTAAAAAATGGATTCTTAATTTATTTTGAATACACATTTTGTTAAATTAGTATTTGGAAATTGGAATACATAATTAGATACTTGACTTACCAAAGCGGTTTCAATATTAGACGCTAATATTTTATTTTCTCTTGTCATTCCTGTAATTGTTATTTCTTTAGAACGTAATTCGTCTGCCTGGTGATTTATTTGTGTTTTAAATCCTTTATTCTGAATCTAAAATATCGGTATCCATGTAATTATTGTATTATAATTTAATACATATATCAAACTTACTTGAAGTTCATCAATCTTAGCCTTTATTTTATCATTTTCAGCTTTTATTCGATCTTTAATCTTAAGGTCTTGTTTTTGCTCCAACTTAAATTGTTCATTAATTTTTTCTAGTTCTTTGTTTGTAATCTGAAAATATTTACTTATTTACTTATAGTGGATATAATTTGTATGTGAGTTATATTAAATTATTGCCATTAAAGTCGTATAACTATCCGTTGTGTCTTTATATTTTTTATCCATTTCTACACGTTTTTCTTTCAACAACTTTACGACCATTAATAAATTTTTTTTATCAAAATTAAGCTTTTTGATAGTTTCATTTAGTGTCATAATTTTTTTTTGATATAATGATAGTTTAACTATATTTCCCTAAAAAAAAAAAAAAAAAACTAAATTAATGAATAAATAATATAATTAATATAAATGCATCCATGTAAACAAGATCTAACATTATGTTTCTTATTTATAATTTTGCTATAAAACTGTATAAATATAAATAATTGCAAAAATTATCATTTTTACTCTCTAGTACCTAATTAAATATAAACATTTTGCCAACTTGAGTTATAACATGAAGTTTTTATAAATCGGAAATATACCCTTCTACTAATGACAAGTAAATATATATCATGAAATCGACGAAAAATAAAAAATTAGATTTTTAGTATCTGATTATTTTTTAAAAATGGTAAATTTGTATAATTAATGTTGTTTACATATACTTATTCGACATACGTATAATCGTATATATTATTAAATATAAACTCAAAGGTTGGCAAGTTAATGAAAATAATTAACTCAAGTTAAGTTAAAAGAACACAATATCGACAAGTTAACCGTTAACAAATTATAAATTTAACTCGATAAGTTAAAATTTAACATACAAAGAAATATTAACTTAACTCAATTTAAAAAAAAGTTAATTTATTTTTTTTTTAATTAGTATGAATATCACAAAAATAATGACAATGTATCTTTAATTTATTAAGTTATAAAAAACAATTTTATTGAATTTTTATCATATTGGACATAATGTACACTGTACAGTGTTACATGATTTATTATTTATTTATTTGAACTATACACATCTAAAATGTATTAACTTAACAAATATTAATTTTTTTTTATAAATAATATAGCAATTATTGAAGGTCAATATAATATTAAAAAAATACAATTTTACTTAAAAAATCTTCTAATATTAACTGCAAAAAGGTAAATTATTTCAACTGTCAATTTAACTACAAAGTTCATAATTCAATTAGAAAATAAACTAACTAGAAAGTTAAAAAGTTTAAAAAAATTAACTTTTTAACTAGTTAATGCTCACCTTTGAGTATAATATTACATTTTTTTTTTTCATTTTTTTCTTTAGTCTATATTATTATTATTATGTTTTATTTTGACTTTATAAAAATTTCCATAAATTATAATTACTATTAAATTATATGTATCAGTAAATAACTTGTATGGCTGTGTATTTTTACAAACCTTTTAGGTATATGTTATTATTGCAGGCATTTTATAGATAAAAAAAAAAAAATAATATCTCATACGTTTAACACTAATAATTGTCTTCAAATATATTTTTAGTAGACCACTCATCAATAAAGGTCAACGATTTTAGCTATTTAAATAATATTTTGAGTTTTTTAAAAAAATAATATTTTATCTAGAATAAAGTGTTTTCAAAATTACCTTCTTAAAACACAATATTTACAATATTTTAATCTACATTTTTTTTTTTTTTATATATATGAGTAAGAACATTCAGCTAAACAATTTAGTTTGCCCATATGAATGAAACAACTCTGTTTAATTTTACAGTGAGTTATTCTTCATTAACTTTATTTCAGATTTAACCACACTGCATTTTAAATTATACGTAAGAAATATTATTGAAGTATCTATAGAACAATCTTTTATTCGTTGGAGAGACGTAAACCGTAAATGTTGGTATGTAAGTACTCTTGGAATTAATATTCAAAATAACACCTACTTTATGTAAATTATTTAAATCTATTTTTTCTTTTTCCTTTGTTTTTATTTCTGTTTTTAACACTTCATTTTCTTTATTAATTTCGGAGCAATTATATTTAAGTTCATCGAATTCTTTTTTGATTTTATCCAACTCTTGCTCAAGTATCACAGGATCATAGTATACTTCTGGTCTGTAATATTGTTTAAAGTGTAAAGTATTTTTTATTCCCCCCTCCTCCCCCCAAAATTTTTTTAAAAAAATACCACTTCATGCAAATGTTTATTAATATAATAACAAGCTGTGTATAATGATTAATGGAGTATACGTAGATTAAAGTTTTAAGCGCTTAGATAATTATGTATAAATATATTATATTGTAAATTATTATTATATTGAATACGATTCTTACGATTCTTCCCAAATAGGAATATATTCATTTTCTTCTTTTTCAAAATCCATTGCTATATATTTGGATAGACTATATTATATTTCGTGGAAGTAATACACAAGCGGTCCCCACGACGTCGTCGATTACAAACTGAAAAAAAAAAGACTATATTATATTATGCATTTATATAATATCTAATACAGTTCTTTCAGTACTTAATTAATTTGCTTTAAATTGAAAAAAAAAATACAGAATCAAGTGGCTAGTTATTTTTTAAACATAAAATGTATCCTTGGATATAAATTTATTTAAAAAAATATATAATTTATATATGCAAATAAAAATATATCAAACAATGTATAAAATACTTTAATAAAACATAAAACATTTAACGTTATATTAAACTAATACTTATATTAAATAATTATACATTTCACGGGCTATACTCATAAATACTATTTGAAGATCAAGACTAATATTGTTTCCCTAAAAATATTTTTTATTGAAAAATATTGCAAATTTACTTTGAGCATTCATCGTTATTTTACAACCACCATTTATAATATGATTTGTGGTGTTTTTATAAGCTATATAACTAATAACTTTGAGCTAAAAAAAAACTTGACATCAGTGAAGTTATGAAATGGTTTTTTTGACTATTAATATAATAAAAATAGATTAAGACCATGATATAAAATATTTAATATCTATAGGTGAAAAATAATCGACGAAATTTTTTTACATATTACGTGCTATGATTATTCTTTATGAATCGAATAGGGTTCATTTTTTAACGACTTTTATAGTTATGTGTTGTAATTTAGAGAAATTGTAGTTATAATATTATGATAACAATTACGGGGGATGAAATTTTATGCTTTGTGGTAAAATATACGAGATCGTATTACATAAAAGACACGCCTAATTAATAAAAAACTAAATGTTTATTTATTTATTATAATTTAAACGGACAAGCTCATTAATAAGACGTATAGACATCATCTAGGATTACAATAATATTTTATTATTACGTTAACAGTTAATCTTAAGTACAATTTATAAAGTAGTAAATACCAATATAACCGATAAATAGAAAGATTTAGTATAAAATATGTGATGTTTCGTGAACTTTTATAATTAAAATGATTCACTAAAATAAATGATTAAAAACATAAAAACAATGAAAACTTAACTTAAACGTATGACATCGACATAAAAATATGTAAATGATTATCTAGCCAAAAGACTACTTATGTAATAATTTAAATTATCAAATGAGATACAAGAAAATATATCAACATTTAAATAGTTTACAAGTTGCATTAATTTATTTATAGGGGCATATTTACCATAATTCGAATTTTGGAATGACATATATAGAAAGAATTCAACTGTCTACTTCTACGACTTTTAACATTTAAGTTCAATAAAGAAAACAATTCATGTATCCATTGATTACTTTTAAAATAAAACAAACCTTATCTTTTTCTTCTATTCTCAACAGTTTTTAGTTTTAAGTAATTATCAAAATGACCAAAATACTAAAACTATTTCAATTATATATTATTATACATCATAAATAAAACGTATTCAGACCACACAACTTATAAATTTAAATTAAAGAATTCACACATATGACACATTATTATAATTCAATAACCATTTAAAGTAATAAATCTTTAATGTGCTAATTGTTACTAGTGTATACTTTCTTAGATTTAGAAAAAAATTTTCTTGAGCTTTAACAGAAAACACCCAAGTAATAATAACTTGAGAACCTATACAAATAGAGCCATTTAATTTCAAATAGTATGTATTAACACATGTACTTTGAAAATTATAGTTACGAATCACTACAGAAAAATACTAAATATTTCTTGCACGTAGTATATTTTTGATTAGATGGGACTATAATCCTTACCCCTTGAATCCAATCACTACAAATATACTCCGCTTCGGCGTTTTTATATCAATGTGGTATTACTGTATTAGACCACATAATTGAAGTTTATATTTTAGAAATAAGGATGGAGCTTTAGGGGAGTACTATAATCTGAAAAATATAATGAAATCATCTAATAAATACATAATGATATTATACCTACTGACACATTCTTAAAGCGAAACTTAAATATTATATCATATTAGTCAAAAGTTAATTAAATATTACTACGATACAAAAATTTTACAACCCCCAAATGAGTACAAAAAAAGTATTTGATAAATTAATAAAATGTTGTAAAGTCCCAAAACAAATCTGACCTAATACATGCGAGGTACGATATTAAATTATTAACATAATGATACGACTGGTGCAGCATAATATTATTATATAAATTATTATTACAGATCCATTTCCGTTGAAAAATGATTCAGTTGTGTTCAAAATGTACATTATAATCTCAAATAATAAATTATACACCGATATAATATGCATTGTATTATGTTCCTTTAATGTTATAATATGAACATCCAGTGTCATAGAATTAACATTATAATATCATTGTTATTATTTGTTACTTAGATAACGGATCAATCATTCGGCGGTGGCGGCGGCGGCTGGGGAAAGTCGCAGCAGGGATTTTCAAAAGTTACGCACCAGCGGTTGTCCTCTGGAAATCGATAATGCCGGTCGGAGGAAGAGTGGCTGGCAAAGGTGTCGGCGTACATAATTCGGGTGGATCTAGCGACGGTAAATACTGATATTATGATATTATGTCCGGTGATCGTATGATACGTCGTTAAATTATTGTTGCCACCGAATATTGTATTTTAACTATAGCATATTAAGCTATAGATTTTAGATGGGAAACGGAGCCACAGGTTGTTTTTTTTCCGATTTGTACCTACAACGATATGACATTCAATGCAATAAAAACAATTTACCGAGTTCTTTATGTTATTCATACAATTATTGAAATTCCAGTTTTACTGCAATGTTAATATTGCGTTATCATTATATTACATGTCTCACATATCTATTTTTCTCGTTATTTAAAATTTTATGTTATAATTTTAATCATCAATTTATCTGAAAAAAATATATTAGAACAATAATTCGGTTTATATTGTCGTCAAAAGTAGATCCGAATTTTCTGGGCTATATTCTCATACAAAGTGAATCACCAAATATGCTCATCCCACTTTCATTAATAATGAAATTATTCAAATTTTAATTTTTGTGATATTAATTTATACTTAAACCATATTTTCAATTATTTAAAGAGTGTCTTTTAGTGACTCAAATTAATTATTTTTTTTTATAGGAATTAACCCTTTTTAATTATCAATTTTTAAGTAAATTATAATATATTTTAAAAAATTTACGACCTCGCCTAAACCGAAATTCTGCGAATAAAAACTAAATTATTAAAATGTATTTATTCTAAAAATAAAGTTTTAAAAAAGACTTTACAAAAATTTTTAATGTTTATAATATTGGATTAGAATTTATTATAATATTATTTAGACAATTTTTAAAAATAATAAAATGTTTAGAGATTGATAATATTTATGTCAACATTCTCAAAAGAATCTAATGCTTGATAATTTTAATTATTTTCTTTTGAAAACAGTTAGTATTAGCATATAATAATCCTTAAACAATATAAAAAATCTAAATACATTAAATATGGTCCATAATTAAACTTAAAAAACTCAGAATTTAAATAATTTTTTTATTAAATAATTCATAGTGATGATTTTAATTTTTATCTGAAAATAATTATTTTGTTTTATCGTGTTATTAAACATATTATATAATACAATACAAACCGTAGTTTAGAGCTTTTTTTAATATATATAATATGATGTAAACTGTATGGTAGTTATTTGTACTTCATCATGATAGACGCAATCAAAAGTTTCTGAAATATCTAATAAGAACAGCACTATAGCATATACTATTGACGTCTTACGAAACTTCCGTCAAATTTTAGGTCAATCTTTACTTGTAAAGTGATATTGAATTATTTGATTTTACCCAAACTTAAAATGATGAATTGCGTCGATTGATGTTAAATTTCTTATAACTTTATATGGATTATATTTTGTAAAGAAAGTAACTAGCAGAAAACTGAAAAGAGTTATAAATATAAATTATTAGAGAGTAATTATTTTCAAGTATTTTAATCTAATAATACGGTTATGTGTTCATACATTCGAAGTAAGTAGTTAGGTGACCAACATTTAGTAGAGTTGATAAAAATGTTAACCATTTATAAAATTTACGACTATTTAAATTGCAAATTTTTATTGATAATTAATGATTTTTTTTTTCTGCGCTTTATTGCATCGATCGCTAATTGTATTGAGTGACACGCGCTGAAATTTATACACCTTCCTGCGTACATTCCAAGCTAATAACTATGATCCAAAATTAAATTCGGCCAGCTCTGTTGGCTTATATAGAAGTACGACTGCATATATTTGCTGTTTCACGTATGTTCTTTTTAAATTTTATGGACAAAACGATATCAGTACCCCGACCCTGTAATGTTAATGGTTATCTATCTCGACAAATGTTATTTCTAGCCTATAGTTATTAAATTTGTTCAACCGTTATTTATTACTACCTATTGATAGAATATTTTGTAAAACATAATAATGTATCGTGGAACCTGAGGTGCAGGATTTATATCTAATATATTATATTTCGGTATATTTTGCATAGTTAAGAAAGATAGATGCGCAAATGAAAAATATGTTTTACATAAATGGCTGATAATTTTATTATTAATATTGTAACTATGTTTTCTTGATAGAAAATAATTTACGATGAATAAAGTGGGATGGCACTTAACTGTAATGTACTTTTATTTCAAAAGACTTGATTGTTAACAATATATTTATTTTTTTTTTAATAGATCACTGAGAAACTACCTAAAAATTATATGTGTTATGTACTACTGTTATAATAAAAAAAAAAAAAAAACCAGAAATTGGTTGTTATATCGGCCTTCCGTTTGATTTTAAACCATCGTGTTCTTCCTGCGCACAACGTATATTATGAATTATTTATATAATAACAGAGAGTAATCCCAAGATAATTTTCTCAACTTATTTTCGTTACAAGTATTTTTATTATTCATTCAAGCCCCCTAATAAAGAATTAAAATCAAATATCATGGCTACAGGGCAATGATACTGATACAGTGATACAGTGATACATCCATCAAAAATATTCACTTCCATTCTTTCGTTGAAAATTGCACCCATTCAAATTCTAATTTTTGGAATTTTTAAGAAAACTTTAAGCATTAAAAATTTTAATTTAAGATATTAATTAAAACACTAAACTATTTAAGTATACCGTGATGATACAAGCTTAGTTTTTACAAAAAATTAATCACCCTTTTTAGATTTTATTGCAAATTGTTACTCGGATTTTTAATAAGCAATGTCTACATTAAATGATTATTTTTGTTTCATACAATTAAACACACTTTTAAAAATCTCTTACTCCGAGTATATAATAAGTAAATATTAAAACATTTTAATTATATAAGTATTTTTATTTTTTATATAAAATAAAAATTTCATGAAATATTATGTTCTTAGATAATTTTAAGAAATTAATATAATAACTTAAATTTTTCAATCATTATAATATTATCTTCTAAACTTATTTTGTGGGCCATTATCTTTAAAGTGCGTTATAGGGATTTAAAGTTTAATAATTCAGAAACTACTCAGGCATACATAAATAAATTAAAATTCTTAAAAATATCATCACTTCAAAAATTTAAAATAATATTGAGTTATTTTTGTTTTAAAAGAAATATTTATATCGTATAAATACTTAATGATCTTCTTTAATTATCTAAAAATCTATTTATTCGTTTTCATTATTACACCTTTATTTTCATCAAAATATTGAAATAAATAATTTAAGTTATTTTTTAATACTTTTCGTTAAAATTCAACCATTTTATAGTTTACAATCTTGAAGAAAACAGGTTTGTTAAATATTAATACTATTAGTAGTATTAACGAAATTACAGTCAATTAAGAATGTAAATCCTAGTTATAATATCTTATAAGATACGGAGATGTTTACATGTATACTATTGGATAAGTATTACCTGTAATTTGATAAAAATTTTATTTCCCCTCCCTCAAATTATCGGAAGTTTACGATTTTTGCAATATCTAAATAGTTCACATGAAGTTATGTTTGACGTGTTTTTTTACAGGGCACGCGTCTGGTGGTTTCAACGAGGAAGTCATATGGATCAGCATTGGCATGAGCATAGCTATAGTCATACTAATAACGATAGCTTTGTGCTATTTAGCTCGTCAGCGGTGCAAGAAAAGACAGGAGATAAGCGTACGCACTTAACGTGGAAAAAGTATACTCTAATACATCATACACATACTTAAGCATTCAACCTACTATGACCATCTGCGTACGAGTGTTTTACTCGGACTGCGTATACAAAACTTATAGAATTTGAACGGCCCCACTCGCGTTGTTATAGCTATATATTATTATTATTATTATTATTATTATTATTTTTTATTATTATTATTGTTATTATTATCATCATTGTTACTATCATAGCCGTATTGAATGCGTGTCCTTGACTGAGATATATGTTCTTTGTCGTACCTCATTACTTTTGGCGATCATGTGATACGATTCTTGACATCTTGCGTGCTTATCTGGTTAATGTTCATAAACTGTTTACCCGGCATACTTTAAGTATTTCATCCACTTCTATCTCCTAACATCGTCAATTAGTCATGACTTCAGAATAAATCTTATCACGTGTAGTTACGTAGTGATTGATAAAACCCAAGAAAACCGTCTTTAATACAAATACAAGTCTCAGCACGTCACATTCTCCCTAACTTCATATACTGAAATCCACAAACGTCCTACAACTGCAGAAACGCCGTTATGCGTCTACTAATTGATATGTTTAGTAATTGATTGCTGTCATAAATTCAACCAGACATTAAAATATAGCATTATAAACCCTTGTAATCATGTGTTGATGGTAATATTTTTTTTACATGGTACATATTATTATTTATTCACGCGAAAATGTCACACAAATTATAAAACATAAATTTAATGCAATTTCGGTTAAGATTTTATAAATGTATTCGCACTTTTTTTAATAATAATTGACACAATGCGTATTAATCGTATGAATTTTATTTTTAAAAGTTGTAAACTGCACACTGTGACGACACAGACGGAGATTATTATCATGGTAATATGATATGGGACGCGTTTTCTTTTTCGATTATATTGTTATCATAATATGTATGCAAAAAATGAAAATCGCGTCATCGAAAAAATATTAACTGCAGGACCACTGCGATACGGTCGTCGTCGTCGTCACGTGAAAGTTCTGACGAGTACAATAAACCACGTAATAATAAGATATTACCCTATAATAGTCACTATTGCCGCTGTGAAAATTAATTTCATTTTTATTTTTATTTATAATAATTCACATTATTCAATTAACGATTAATATGTTTTACTTATTGAAATCCTGAAATATTTCTCCTGTGGCGTTACGCCTCATGATTGTATTTAATATTTATATAATATCTCTATAAATATAACAACAATAATAATATGTATTAGCATCACAAAAAAGATTAATAAATGTATTATAATAGTATAATAATATAGCGTTTGGTACCTAATAAAAAAAAATAAAAATATTTTTTTTTTCATTTGAACGACGTAGAAATAAAAACTAAAAAACGTTGTATCTCTTTGTGATCAAATTCTGAATCATAATAATATATTATAATATATACTGTAACTTCTTGTATGGTATAACCACAGTAGTGTAAAATATTAAATAAATGTGTATACTTTACAGATAACAACCCAACGATAATACTTATATTTTTTTCATTTTTTTTTTTTTTTTTTTGACATACAAATCATGTTTTAAATGTGTAAGTCATATATTACCACATTAGCATGCATAATGTGTTTACAGCGTAGAATGTAATATTATTTTATAAGATGATTCTTCCACATTTCTTTCGAAAATTCCAAAATCTATTTAAAAAAATTAAAAAAATAATTTAACGCTTATGAAAAAATTAGTTTAATTTATAAAGTATAATATACTAGTATAATTATATGATGAGAGTGGAGAACATATCCAAAAATAAAATATTCATGAATAATTGTATGCTGTAATAATATAGAAATAATTACATGTGTACGTACGATATATTTGTAACTCAATTTACTTATATATTATATATAATAATATATACTAAGACCAATTAATAATAGACATATTTTTAAATTATTTAATTGTATAATTTGTTAAACAATATATTATATTAGTTTATTTATTAGAAATAAGACATGTACTATTTTAGTATCAAATACTGTAGTAGTTTACAATGGAAAATATATTATTTTCTTCCATATAATAATATAATATTGTTATAAATAATTATAACATAATAAATCTGTATAGCTGTAAATCTATTATTTATTCAAATTCATGTAGTAAGCTATAAACAAGCTGATCACTAAACAGTTTTTTCTTAACTTCATCCTAAAAAAACAAAAAATGGGTTGTAGTTTTATCAAAAATAAAAATTCAACAAACATGTATTGTTGTTTATTTTATATTGAATATGAATAATGAATTTCACATGTATTCAAATACGAAGTACCTATACAACTCGTTGTATTATTATACACAGCGGAATTGGTATGTAATATTTTTCGTACGAGAGCTTATGCGGAGAAAAAAAACAATTGATAACATAATATTGTCATAATATAAATTCAAAATATAAAAAATTTAAATTTGCAATACTTTTATATATCTATGGCACGTACATTTATATAAATATAAAAAGATAGCATTACCAATTTTGATTTGATTTCATATTATTATGAAATAAAATTAACTAGAACTTGGTTAGATATATTGAGGAATAAACTTTAATTATTTCTTAGCTACTACTTATTAATTACATCAAAAACTTATAAGAAAAAATCAATTGAAAAATTATTTAATTGAATCAAAATATATTGTTTTTATAAAAATAAAGTTTTTGTGTGTATGCACGTTATATAGTTTTTTTGAAAATTAAAACTTTTTTTTATAATATTATACTTAGTTACTTTAATAGCTAAAAGGACATTTTTACTTGAATTATAGTTATTATATCAAAAAATTTTATCTGATATTATTTTAACATACATATTTCTTATGAAGTTACTAACCACCATCACAGTGTAAAATCATGTATGTATCTATGTGTAAACAAGTATACAATATGGATTAAGAAAAATATAAGTGAACGAGTAATCCTAAAGCAATTCTTATAACTGAAAACTAATTATTATTATTAATATGTTCTACATGAAACTTTCATAAATACATTTTTTTACATACATACAGTGCTTTTACAGTAGGTAAGTATACTAAACTATTTTCCGCTACTTTACACTTTTATCAGCTTCAAAGCCACACTATTAGGACTGCGCGTTTGATGTCATATTAGGTATGTTTTTATTTAACTATAACATCATATAAAGAATACACACGCATGTATATATAAAATATATTACTTCAAAAATCTCAATTAAAAATTGTTAATTATTTTTTTCTCAAAAACAAAATTACAAAACCAGAATTCATCCTTTAAATAAATAATTATAAATTCAAAACATCATTTATATTTTGTATTAAAAATATTATGTAAAATTACTTAATATTTATTATTCGTATTTAAACATTATTTATGTTCTTTTATTGATTCTATAAAACACATTCACTTCCTCACACTGTCATTATTATTTATTCTTATTGGTTACTAAATTGAACCGATTGGTCAAATTGGTTGAATAATACTTACACCAGACAACCATATAAAAGTTTTTAACAAATCCCATCCACGTATATTTATCTGGCTCTAAATAAATAAACGTTCTGAATTTAATATTTTTTTTATATGTGTATTATATAATAGACGTTATACGCTAGTAATAATGTTTTCCGAATGTTTCAAGATATTCCGAGTTGTTTTAAACAATCGATTTATGTCATATATATCGTTGAATAAAATAGTAATATATCTAATAAATATATGTTAGATATTATAAAAAGTTATGCTTGGAATATCAAAGCATTTCTGATCATCGTGTTTCTTTGAGCGTAATCGTATATGATATTATTAAACCACATCACCTCACCTCATCTATTGCACAAAACTGAAGAATAAATTTGAAATCAAACGTCTCAAAGAACAATTCTAGGCTAAACTCGAATAAAATTGCAATACTTACGAAGTGACATGTTTTCAACATAATTTACCCAACAATGTTGTCGTTGTACAGCTAAATATGTCAAACGGCGTAAAATATAGACAATATAGATACATCACTGTTTAAAATAACTTAATATTATTATTAGGGTTATATTTTATTCGAAAAATATTGATAGAATCAAATTGCAGGTTCAAAATTCCAACTTATAAAAATAAATGTTATATAACGAATTTATAATACATATATTCAAAACCATTGATAATCACCGTCAAGTTTGTACTAAATATTAAACGATTGAAGTAAGACATTATTATAAATAAATATCTATAATTTGAATTCCTGCAAATGTTGTTAAAAAACAAAACCCTTTATAATCTTAATGTTTAAAATATTATCATACAATTAACTGAAAAAATATGTATAGATCTCATGCAATTTAATGCACGTATTATAGCATAACAACCACAAGTAATCCAAATTAAAGGAACCTGTAATTTTTAATGATTTTTTTCAAACATTTAAAAATATATTACATATTACCTATACAATATCAATCGTATTTAATAAAATGTAAGAAAAATTTAGTACATCAGAATATCGAGGCAGACATTTGAGAAAAAAAATAAAGATTTATTTACCTTATTTATTTAAATTATTTGTATCAACTGTCAAAAATAATAAGTTTAAATCTAAATGTAATCTTGACCTTGCCATAATGTAAAATTTTCCAAACTGTTGGCCACACTCAAAACTACTGTTTTACAACACCAAAATGTGTAAAATGTAGTAAAAGATACATTTCGCTAAATTTCCTTAATTCTGAGAAATCAAAGGCGATATGCATTAAATTGTGATGAAGCATACACCGCAATCTGAAGAGGATATGTCACTTAAATGCAGTAGTAAAAGCTCTGTAGGACCTATCCTATACCTTACCTACTCTATACGACTAATATATTAAACGACGACAATACAATATTAGCTAATGTTTGCGACGATACAACTCTTTTGTTAACACGTAAAAGTCAGCTCACTACAACTAATAACTTACAGAAGTCAATAATTGAAAACATCTTTGCTTGGACGATACATTGAAAAATTAAAAACAATGGCAATAAATCGGTATACGTTAACTATACGTTACGCAAAATTGAAAACATCCAAATAGAATTGAATCAATCGCTAATTTCGCAAAAAGGATTCGGCTAAATATCTTGGAATGCACCTTGACTCTAAATTGAATTTAAAACACCATGTCTGTGAGAAAAAAATCAGATGAAACAAAAAATGCGAATATTGTGCTGGTTAACCAAACCCCATTCCGAGTTTATCATCGAAAACAAACGTCTACTATAAGTAGTTATTATAAAACCGACCCGGAGTTACTTAATTGGAAGTGATTCCGTCAACGTGTAAAGTATTTATAATATATAATTGTTAAATATATTTATATAAAAACTTTTTGGTCGTTTAAATTATGAAACCCCAGAGCATTCCAAAAAAAAATGTACAACCCAATTCTAAAAATACAAAATTGTCTTCTGATATTCTTAAGGCAGATAGTAAACTTTAGGTAGGTTTTTGTTATTTAATCCAATTATGGCGTTTCCACAGAATAAATAAATCAAAACCGTTACAATTAAGCAGGTATAATAATTGTATTGTTTAACTGAAATAATATATATTATATTTATTTATGAATGAACGTATGATTTTTCAATTTCGTAGATTCAATTATTTCTTGATTTTAAATGCAATGATTAAAGTGATTCTTAGAAAATAGAAAATAAAATGGGTCAGC